CGTTGACCAAAATAGTACATTATTTTTAACTTTTTTAGAATCACTGATATCATCAAATTAAATATTTTAATGATAGCAGATAATATAGAATGTTAGTTTGAGATTGTTTACCTTATTACAAATAAGTGAAGGTTATTTACTTAATTTGAAAAATAGCAAGATTAGTTTGAGAAAATTCCATATATTTTTCTTTAGAGAAGTTATATATATACACACAACCAGTGAAGAATTTTGAGTACAACTCAGGTTCAATAACAACAAGTTATTTAGCAAAAGAATAAAAAAATAACAAAACAAATAAAAAATGGTTTCATCCGGCAAATGCTTCTTCCTTATGCTTTTATGCCTAACTCTTGTCATGTCCTCAAGTATGCCAAAAAACCATTTAATAATTTATGCTTAACTCTTGATACAATTTCTATACATTACATGTCTGACGACTCTTTAAGTTTTTGAATGTTTTACTAATTTTTGTTTCCTAAAATAAAATTTCAGATCCTGTGGAAGCGAGGACAGGGGTAGATCCGATAGGTCCTTGCTCGAAATTTCGAGACTGCAAGAAACGATGCATTGAATTAGGTCATCGGATAGGTGGAGAATGTTTTAAACTAAATCCCAGTGACACCGAAAATACATGTTGTTGCTACATATAATCTCATATATCGCGTCTTTGAGATATTAACGAGTGTTAAGTGTTCCAATTTGTCATGTAATCATACAAGCACAAATTTATTAATAAAGAAAAATATATATATTGCATTAAATAAATTAGATTGACATGACCTTACAGTCGATATCGTGTGTTCGTAATCACAAACTTTCAAATGAACATTTTGTTCTAACAATGGGAAGAGTTCTAGCTATATCCTCATGTTTGAATCTATGTCGATTAGTTACGTTATTTCTTCGTATATACAACAACAAAAAATCCTTAGCTTGACAAATGGTTCGTGTAATAAAGATCAACTTATACTAGCTTTTGCTTTTCATGTCTATTATCTTTTAGATCATAATCTACATAAATTATAGTGTAAAAAGTAGACTCCAACCTAAAGCAGAAAATGATTTCAAACCGAATTTTTCCTTGCAACAATTTACTTTTTATTCGAACTCTTTGTGCTCAAATCTTGACTCTTGTCATCTTCTTGAGTTTTCCTACATTTATAGATAGTTCATTAAACAACATTTTGGTTCTATGTCCTAATCCAACACACACCTACTCATCTAATAATTCTAACATCTAAAATAATGTCATTTGAATAATGGACTAAAAAATATAAATCATACAAAAAAATATTATATAGATCCTGTAATCAGAAATAAATTCAACCATAATTAAAATATTCAGATAAGAAAAATTGATGGCAATAGCTAATAGAGTAATATATTTTAGGATTATTTAGGTAGACAAATTCTATTATATAACTAGGTAAATGTATTTCGTGGCAAAATATAAGAGACGATATTTTCTATGCGTAGCTTGACCACGTACAATACTCTTTAAACTTGCTATTTTATCGTACATATTTTCTTTGCATGCACTAACTCTTTACTTCGCAAAATAACATGTACGAAAAATATCAATTAATTGTGAATCAATAACACCGAGTAAAATATCAGTTGTGAATCAATACAATATGTCTTCAAATAAAATAGTGTGACGTTGACCAAATTAGTATATTATTTGTAATTGTTTTGAAAACCATTGATATCATCAAATATATAATATGACATCAGCTAAAATAGCATGTTATTGGAGGTTATTTATTTACTTGAATAAAAAAGGAGAAGGTTATTTACTCAAATAGAAAATAGTAAGATTATTTACTGAAAATTCCATATATTCTACCTTATAAATAATATTGATAGAGATGGATCTAATTTTCTTTAGAGAACTTATATATATACGACCAGTAAAGGATTTTGAGTACTCTTCAGTTTCTTTGTAGAAAAGAAAAGAAACTAAAAAAGAGCAAAACAAACAAAAAAATGGTTTCATTTGGCAAATGTTTCTTCCTTATGCTTCTATGCCTAGCTCTTTTCATGTCTTTAAGTATGCCAAAAAAAATCACTTACTATTTTATGGTTAATTCTAAATTATATGTATTTTTACGTACAATGGTATAGAGTAAATGAAGTTAGAATACATATTGTAATCTAACTAAAAGGGTTAGATCCACATGTTAAAACTAGTAACATATATTCGTTTTACTTGGTTTCATGCATGTACATACTTATTTTCCTTTGTTACAAGACATTGGATAAAACCAAAAAAAAAACTATGACGAACTAAGATCTGACGACTCTTTGTGTTTTTTGAGTATTTGACTAACTTTTGTTTTCTTTCTAAAACAAAATTTAGAGCCAGTGGAAGCGAGGATGGGGATATATCCGATAGGTCCTTGCTCGAAGACTCCAAACTGCCAGAAACAATGCCTTGATTTAAAATACATTTTTGGTGGAATTTGTCTAAAAATAAATTCAGGTGACGCCAAAGACACTTGTGGTTGCTATGTATAATCTTATATAGCGCCTTTTTAAAATACTGATCGTTCAAATGTTTTTAAAATAAAAAGATATATAGCAAGTATACGAAGATATTGTTGATCCAAGTGCTTTACACAAAAAAAAAAAATTATTTGATGAAAATAGCAAGTGCTGCTCCAATTTGTAATGTAATCTCTAAAGCAAACAGTTTTATGAAGAAAAATATATTACATCAAATAAATTGAATTGATAGAACTTTACAGTTGATGCCGTCTTCAAATGATTCGAGTGGAATTAACCAGATCCAACAATTTCTTCATATATACAAAAAAATGGAATCCTTGGTTTGACAAAATTGCTAGTGTCAAGATCAAACACTTGACTGGTTTTTACTTCTCATGTCTATTCTCTTTTGGATCATAGTCCAGTAGTCTACAGAAATTATAGTCCAAAAACTCCAACGTAGCAGACCCATAAGCATAGTTCCCTTTGAGGTTTGACTCATTGCAAACTAACACTGAGATTTTATGACGACACTCTTACGAACTACAGGCTATATGTGCCAATCCAACACTAACTCATCTAGTAACTAATATAATCTGAATAATGGACTATAAATAAAACTCATACAAAAAGGATTATATAAATCCTATAATCAGCATTAGATTCAGACATAACTCCTATAATCAGCATTGGGTTAAAAGTGAGATTCATGTGGACAATCTATTATAATCGTTTATGTGGTTAATGATAAGTATGATGTTGAGCCAAAAAAAAAAGTATAATATATTCAGATACGAGCAAAACAATTTTGACAACCAGATATGAGCAGTTGATGGCCGGATTCTACTACATTTGGTGGCAAAATATAAGATAATCTTTTCTTTGCATAGCTTGCACTTGCTATTTAATTTGATATATTTTCTTTAAATGCAATAACTAGTACTCTTTACTTCATAAAACAACATGACATCTAGTACATGTCACCGAGTAAAATTGATCATAACATATATAGTAAAAAATCAGAAAATAGTTTAAGGTTCATTACCTTTGAAAAACATATATAGTAAACATGCCGAAGACACTTGTGGTTGCTACATATAACCTTCTAAATGGAAACTTTAAGAAATATGAAGTTGAAATTTAATTTCTTGCTTTATTATGTTTTATTGTATTGGTTTCTAGAGGATGCTTAATTCCCTCTCTGCATTGTAGCTTCCAAATTTGATTTAATGAAATTAAGTGTTACACAAAAAAAAAATTGATGGTTCCAATTTTTTTACAATAAAAATATGGCAATTATAAGAAGATATTGTTGATCCAAGTGCTTTACCCAACAAAAAAAAGTTTATTGATGAAAACAGCAAGTGCCGATTTGTAATGTTATCTCAAAAGCAAACAGTTATATGAATAATATATTCCATCCAATATACTGAATTGGTAGAAGTTTGCTTCTCATGTCTGTCTACTCTCTATTGGATCATAATCTACAAAAAAAATTATAGTCCATAAATTCTAAACTATAAGCAGAAATGATCTCGAAACGATTATTTTCCTTGTAAGAGTGACAACATACATCTAACTGGAATTCTTTGTGTTCACACATCTTGAACTTCTCGAATTTGGCTACATTTGAAGAAACTTGTTTTAGTTCATGAACAACATTTTGAACCATGGCTAGAAAAGACATTGTTGATTCAAGAATTTTACAAACAATTAGAGTCCTAGTTTCTTTTGAGGTTTCACTCATTAAAACACAATTTTTTTTAATAAGAATGGATTTTGTATGAAATTTAAAAATCATCACATAACAATAAATTTTAGTAAGATTGTCAGAATTCATAAACCAATAACAACGAAATTTTAAAATTAAAATAAAAAATTGAAATCCATCTCCCAACAAAATTTTAGTAAGTGTTGTTGATTTATGATTTTTTTGAATTAAATTTTAATTTTAGATTTTTAATGTTTAGTTATAAACAAAATTGTAGTTTTAGTTCTGTAACTTTAATGTATTAATAAAAATAACTAAATTATATATGTTAATAAAAAATTAATTGAAAATTTAATATGTTTTCAGAATATATATAAAAGAAATATTTAAAATAACTCAAAATGAGTAGTATTATTTTTAATTTAAACCTTTGGCAGTTGGCAGTTGGCAGTTGGCAGTTTGGCACCTTACGCCAGAAATACATTATGTTACGAGGAATGTTATTTGAAATTATTATTGTCAGTTTATTTTCATTTTTTTCTTGTCGGGGTTTTGCTCATAAACCCTAGTTTTCTCTTTCTTCATTTCCCCAAAATTTTATTTTTGCGATTTCTGGGTTTGCGGGTGAACGAAAAAGAGAAGAGAGCTCTTGGAAAATCGAACAGTCTTCAATCTTCACCGGCGATCGATCCCTGAGTGAACATTTGTAAGTTCGAAGAAAATTTCGAGAATTTATCGAATTTAATCAGATAGTTCGCTCCAATCGCTTCAAGCATTTTGATAATCGCATTGCCTTCTCATGTATACTCTGATTCTCCATGGAAGAAACTCGCTCAAGCTTCAGAATTTGCGTAATTTGAGATTCGCAGCGCAAAATCAAAATCCCTTCTTTGCTTTCTCCAATTCCTTCTCCTCTGCTGCAGATGTGAGTCCTTTTGAAGATGGTCGAAAAGGTCAGAACTTTACAGTCTCTTACCTTGTTGATTCACTGGGTTTAACCACAAAGCTCGCAGAATCAATCTCCAGGAAAGTCAGCTTCGAGAGCAAAGCAAATCCAGATTCAATTCTGAGTCTTCTCAGAAGCCATGGATTCACAGATTCTCAGATCTCCGACATCGTCACAGATTATCCGCTACTGCTTACATCAGATGCTGAGAAATCTCTCGCCCCCAAGCTTAAGTTTCTTCAGTCGAGAGGAGCTTCAAGCTCTGAGCTCACAGAGATTGTCTCAAAAGTTCCAAAGATCTTGGGGAAAAGAGTAGGCAGATCCATCAGCGTTTACTACGACTTCGTCAAGGACATTGTAGAAGCTGATAAGAGCTCAAGAGAGTATGAGAAGTCATGCCATTCATGGCCAGAAGGTATGCGAGCTAACAAAATCAGAAACGTTTTGGTATTGAGAGATTTGGGTGTGCCTATGAGGTTCTTGTTCCCTTTGCTTATATCAGAAAGCCAACCAATCTGTGGGAGAGAAAGATTTGATAAAACACTCAAGAAGGTTGTTGAGATGGGTTTTGATCCCAAGACCTCAAGGTTTGTGGAAGCTCTCAAGGTCTTGTACCAACTGAGTGACAAAACGGTTGAAGAGAAGCTCAGTATTCTTGATAAAAGGTTAGGCTTTGCTGTGGGAGATGTTTGGGAGATTTTCAAGAAGTCTCCAATCTGTCTGGCACTCTCTGAGCAGAAGATACAGAGCTCCATTGAGACATATCTAGGTTTAGGGTTCAGCGAGGATGAGTTGGCGATAATGGTCAAACGCTCTGCCTCGTGTTTGAATTACACTGCAGAGACGGTGAAGAAGAAGACTGAGTTTCTTGTGAAGGAGATGAATTGGCCGTTAAAGTCTGTGGCTTTGTTCCCTCAGGTGCTTGGATTGAACATGGAGAAGAGGGTTGTGCCGAGGTGTAATGTGATCAAAGCTCTCATGTCGAAAGGATTGATCGGAAAGGGAAGTGAACTTCCTTCAATGGCGTCTGTCTTGGCGGTTACTGATGAAGCTTTCTTAAAGAGGTATGTGATGAAGCAGGAGGACAAGAAGCTTGTGGCTGTGTTGATGTCTATCTTCACCAGAGATTGTGTTTCATAGATAGGAAGAAAGAAGGATTATGAATGTTTCTTAGATGAATGTTTTGATGGTGAATATGTGGGAAGAGTAAAATGAGAGTTTTTATTATGAATCTCTGAAAGACTGAATCCAATATAATCTCCTTAATTTGACTCATTTCTATGTGCAATCTAACTTGGAAACATTACAAATTGTATTCAGTGTCTTTAACATGGAAACATGGAGATATGTGTGACGCTGTGTTTGATATGATAAAGCAAATTCACTTTTATTCCGGATGCAAAAAAACAATCTTTGATTTTTCATTTTTATAAACATGAAAGGATTTGAACAAAAATAAAATAAAATAAACATGAAAGGACACAAAATCAGGGGTTTTGCCTAAAAGCCCTAATTTTTAATTCCGTTCTTTGGTTACCTTCCTCAATTTTGGTTCTTTGTGAAATTGGTTCTCTCAAGTTAATGCACAGAGAAGCCAAAACTTGAATCTTTGATTCCATCCGATCTTCATCATCGAAGCTTTCAGCAGCACTGAGGTAATCGCATTGCCTTTTCTCTCATGTCTTCTCTGATACTCCATGGAAGAAGGTTGGTCCAGTTGCAGAAATGTCGTCACTTGAGATTTGCCGCGAGCCCTTTGCAAAAGGCGTCTGCTTTTTCCTTCTCCTCTGCAGCTGTGAGCCTTGGAGATGGTCAAAAAGGTCAGAACTTTACAGTCTCTTACCTCGTTAAGTCTCTGGGTTTGACTACAAAACTCGCTGAATCGATCATTAGGAAAGTCAGTTTGGAGGACAAGGGAAATCCTGATTTCGTTCTGAAACTTCTTACAAGTCATGGATTCACAGATTCTCAGATCGGCGACATTGTTACGGATTATCCACTACTGCTTACAACAGATGCTGAGAAATCTCTTGGTCCAAAGCTTCAGTTTTTACAGTCTAGAGGAGAAGCTCAAGCTACTACAAGCTCTGCGCTCACAGAGATTGTTTCTAAATTTCCAAAAATCTTGGGAGTCAAAAAGGACAAAGCTTTGAGCGTATACTATAATTTCGCCAAGGAGATTATCAAAGCGGATAAGAGTTTCGAGCACAAGAAGTTATGTCCTTCTTTTTTTGCCAGAGGGTAGTCCACAGGAGAACAAAATGAGAAATGTATTGGTTTTGAGAGAATTGGGCGTGCCTCAGAGGTTGTTATTCTCATTGCTCATATCAAATAGCCAAATTGTGTGTGGGAAAGAAAGATTCGAAGAATCCCTCAAGAAGGTCGTCGAGAAGGGTTTTGATCCGACCACGACCACCTCAAAGTTTATCGAAGCTCTTCATGCTGTTTACCAATTGAGTGACAAAACAATACAAGAAAAGTGTCAAAGTACAGCGGAATAATCTCTCTTGTCATTAACGATAATGTACATCGATATATATAGCTACATACTAATGGGCTTACACACAAAATATAGCCCATCACAATACTCCCCCTCAAGTTGGAGCATGCAAATTACAAATGCCCAACTTGGAGATCAAGAAACGAAATTGAACAACTCCAAGAGCTTTAGTGAAAATATCAGCGATCTGTTCACCACTAGGAACGTACGCCGGTTTGATGAGACCGTTGAGAATAGAATCGCGAACATGATGACAATGAGATTCGATATGCTTCGTGCGCTCATGGAAAACGGGATTTGTAGCAATATGAATAGCCGCTTCATTGTCACAATGAAAAGGAATAGGGCCAGGTTGTGTAATACCGAAGAAGTGGAGAAGAGTATTGAGCCACTTGACCTCTTTAGTAGTCCAGGACATGGAGCGATACTCAACTTCGGCAGTAGACAAGGAAACCGTGTCTTGTTTCTTAGTCTTCCACGAAATAGGAGAGCCATCAAGAAAAAACACAAATCCGGTTAACGATCGACGTGTGAGAGGACATGCATTGTAATCCGCATCACAGTAGCCTGTAAGCACAAGATCGGTACCAGCTTTATACAAAATTCCTTGACCAGGTGTACCTTTGAGATAGCGAAGAACCTTGAGGGCAGCATTCCAATGTGCAACAGTTGGCTTTTGCATAAATTGAGACAAGATATGCACAGAGTAAGATAGCTCCGGATGAGTGAGAGTGAGATAAATAAGTTTACCGACGATACGGCGATATTGGTATGGGTTGTCATAAGGAGCATCGACGGAGTGAGCGAGACGATGATTTGGAGCTAATGGAATGTCCGTAGGACGACAACCAAGAAGGCCAGCCTCAGAGATGATGTCCAAACAATACTTTCGTTGACACAAAAAAAATCCCTCAGCATTCCGAGCCATCTCAATTCCAAGAAAATAACGAGGAGTACCTAAGTCTTTCATGTGGAATTGACTGCTGAGATAAGACTTGAAAGCAGAGAGTAGAGCTGTGTCATTACCACCAAAAAGTAGATCATCGACATAGACAAGAACATAAATCTCTGAATCACCACGCACAAGGGAGAAAAGAGAGTAATCTGAAGTGGATTGGCGAAAACCATAATCCAGAAGCGCCGTTTGAAGGGTTCCAAACCAGCAACGAGGTACCTGCTTTAGACCATAGAGAGACTTTTTCAAACGACATACTTTAGTAGAGCCGGAAGAGAGAAACCCGGGAGGAGGTTTCATGTAAACTTCTTCATCCAAAGTGCCATGTAAGAAGGCATTGTGAACATCCATTTGATGAAGTGCCCAGTTACGAGAAGCAGCAACGTTAAGAAAGGTTCGGACAGTGGTCATCTTGATAACTGGAGCAAAAGTTTCATCATAATCAACACCTTCTTCTTGACGGTTTCCGAGAGCAACAAGGCGTGCTTTATGGCGCTCGACAGTACCGTCAGAATTGAACTTCAGTTTAAAAACCCATTTACACCCAATGGCACGTTTTCCAGGAGGCAAATCAACAAGATCCCATGTGCCACTATCTTCCAAAGCAGTGATCTCAAAACCCATTGCTTTACGCCAAACATCAAATTCCATGGCGTCTTTAAAAGAACGGGGTTCCGTGAAAGCAGTGACATTCGCAAGAAACACTTTGAAAGAGTCTGAGAAGTTAGCTGAGCACATGTAATCGCCAATGGGATAAGGAGTACCTGACGGATGAGAAGGTGGAGTCGTCGAAACAGGCTTGGGTTTTGGATTTACTTGAGTGGAGTAGGTAACGTACGGCTCAAGTTGATATGATGTTTCCTGGGTCTACACCAGGAGGAAGATAATAATCAGACAAAATACCAGCATCCTTGATAGAAGCTACCGTAACGGTTGGCGTTGCATCTCCCATCGAAAAAGAAAAAAAAAAAAAAAAAAAAAAAAAAAAGATCTCGAGCAATTGGCTCAGACCGTGAAAAGAGCAACAGGCTCAAGAAAAGAAGATCAACGAGCAAGAAGGCTCGAGATCAGAAGGAGAAGAACAAAAAGGAGATGAAGAGATGCAGAGGAGATGAAAAGACAAGGACCTACTCTGATACCATGTCAAAGTACAGCGGAATAAACTCTCTTGTCATTAACGATAATGTACATCGATATATATAGCTACATACTAATGGGCTTACACACAAAATATAGCCCATCACAATAAGAAGGTCAATGTGTATAAAGGTTTAGGCTTTGATGTGGGAGAGGTATGGGAGATTTTCAAGAAGTGGCCTTCCTATCTGAATTTCTCGGAGAAGCATATAGTGAACTCCATGGAAACATTTCTAGGCCTCGGATTCACCAGAGATGAGTTCACGATGATGGTCAAGCGCCGTCCTTCGTGCATTGGATTCTCTGAAGAGACGGTGAAGAAGAAGACTGAGTTTCTTGTGAAGAAGATGAATTGGCCACTAAAGTCTGTGGCTTCGCACCCTCCGGTACTTGGATACAGCATGGAGAAGAGGATTGTGCCAAGGTCTAACGTAATCAAAGCTCTCAAGTCCAACGGTTTGCTCGGAAAAGGAGGAAGTGAACTCCCTTCAGTGTCGAGGGCGTTTGGGATTATCGATGAAGCTTTCTTAAACAAGTACGTTAAGGATCATGATGATGACAAGGAGCTTGTGGCCGAATTGATGGCTATCTTACCAGCGATCGTGTCTCATAGGTTAGCAATCTTGTTAAAGGGTTCTGTTAGTTAACTTTTTAGATTTGTCCATAAATCTTTTGTTGCTGTCAATGGGAAGCAAAGCAAAAGATTTTTGAATATGAATGACTGGAAAACTTATGTAATCTCAATTTAATCTTTGTCTTTGACACATTTCTATGTGCAATCCTACTTGGAAAGATGAGAAATTGTTATTTTGGATTTTCGTCAACTAGTCATAGAAGCCACATTTCAATGCTTGTGTTCACGTCCGACATGATCTTTGAGCTCACATCTTGACTCTTTCCTCTTCTTGAAATTACAGCAGAAACAGTTGATCATATGATAATTCATGAAATTTGGAGGATTTCTATCTTCTTGTAGAGTGACATTACAACACCAAGTCGTTTCATTTTCTCAGAACAAGACTCAATTAGTTTGTCCATAGTCAATAGCAAGAATGAAAAGACATGATGTTTGTGTGATACCACTCGATAACCAAATGGAAATGCTCTCATTGATATCCAAATGAGCTTACAAAAATTGTTTCTGATGCTGCTGTTATTTTGAGCTCTGCTTTGTCTATTCTTGACAAGACCACGAAACTCTCTTTTGAGCCTGACATTTACACTACTGATCGGACGATTGAAGCAGTGACTTTAGTTGATCATTTGGTTTGACTTTGACAAAAAGAAAATTGGTATTCAAACAGCAACAAGTGTATTTAACGTTTCAAAAGCCATTTTTTTGTTGCCAAAACATAGTTTTTAATTTGATTTTCTAAAAAAGTTTCTTCCTTTGCTGCAAAAAAAAAAAAAACACAAAAATCAGGGTTTTGTGCCTAAACCTTAAAAAATCGTTACTTTTTGTTCCTTTTTGTTGCCTCCTCACACAATTTTGGTTCTTTGTGATTTTTGATTTCGGAAGTGAATGAACAGATAAGCGGAAACTTGAATCGTCCGTCGACTACGAGTCACTTGTAAGTTTGGAACTTTTTAGAGATTTTAGTATCATCGAAGCCTAGGCGATTCCATTTCCTGAATTGAATCAGATTTATCGCTTCAGCACTGTGTTTATCGCAATTCCTTGTAATGGGTTCTCTGATTCTCCATGGAAGAAGGTTTTGCGAGTTGCAGAAATTGTGTATTTTGAGATTTGCAGCGAACCCTTTGCAAAAGGCGTCTGTTTTTTCCAGTTCCTTCTCTTCGAGCAGTAGAGATGGTCAAAAAGGTCAGAACTTTACTGTCTCTTACCTCGTTGGATCATTGGGTTTAGCTTCAAAACTCGCAGAATCGATCTCAAGAAAAGTCTGTTTCGAAGCCAAGGGAAGTCCAGATTCTGTTCTGAATCTTCTTAGAAGCCATGGATTCAGAGACTCTCAGATCTCCACCATCATCACGGATTATCCACAGTTGCTTATAGAAGATGCTGAGAAATCTCA